TGAAGAGTTTGGAAATCAAATTCATAAATTTCTGCCGGAAATTCAGTTTATCTCCAATTTTCCTGAACTGAGCAGCACACTCAACTTCCAGCTCTAAAAAGGAAAGCAAAACATCAAATCAACATTTGATTGACAGTCCTAACTGTAACAGCAAGAGTTTACATCCTCAGCCGAGGACACATTTTTTTTTTAAATTTCAGCTTTATATGCACATTTTCCCAAAGTGAAAGACTATTTACAACATACACACATACTAACCCATTTTTAGGAATGTAAGCATTTATTTCCATATATATGTTTTGGGGGGGCAGAATTGAGGATTGAACTCAGGTCCTTGCACTTGCCAGGAAAGTGCTTATTATACTGAGCTATCTCCCCGGTCCTCAAATATAAAATCATCCAGAAAGAGGCAAAAGTTCCCTCTCAAAGTATACTACTATACTTCCTATGTCAAATACTACAACAGTACTATTAGTCAAACTTCTGCCCAGCCAGATGACTTTCTCTTCCTTTAAAACTGACCAGGGAACAGATGTCTACTTGTGTTGTTTTTGAGTACATTTGTATTATTTCATAGCTCAAATTATATGTGCCTCTCTAATAGACAAATCAAAACTTTACTCTTTCTCACATTAAAGTATTTTTCTCAAAATTAAAAAAATTTATCCACAAATATTATTTACAAACATCCATGCTCTAAATAAAATTAACTTTAAAATTCTCTACTCATAATTATGATTTCCTTCAACATTTTCAAAGAGAACTCAAGTTGCTTTGTTCTACTTTGTTCCATTTCAAGAAAATAATCAGACTACAAATTTCAATCTGCTTTTTTTCCTTTTAAAAAAAAACCCTGCAAAGATTCTATTTAGGCTCAAAAAAAAAAAAAAAGAGACAGAAATAAAAATATATAGTAAATATTTAAACCTACATTTCAACTAAAAAGAACTGAATTAAATCTTTCTTAAAGGTTAAGAAACCTAATAAATCTTTCAAGATGTTATGTTTTTATAGGCTAAGACAGGCATGTGTGGTTGTCTAGACCCCTGGGTTGGACCCTCAACACCTCAAGACAAATCATTCTGCATGCAATTTTAGGAGCACTGAATTCTGTGAAGCAAAAAAATCACCCCTATACAGGTGCTAATAATATGTTTTAAGCAGAGCTTTTTACTGTGCTTCCTTACCTGACAATGGGGAAAAACCAAAAAGTGCTTTGTTCTTTTTTTTTAAGTGCTTTGTTCTGATTAGGCCATATTATCATAAATGGCTGACAAAGTTTTCCACCCTAAGGCAGAGCCAGGCAGAGCAGGCTAGTGTCAACTTAGCCCTGGTCACACTTGCAATGTACCACATTTCCTGACCGTGTGGGATAGAAAATGGAAGGGGAAAGGGGCATGTACTTAGGCTGATGTAATCACAGCATGGCCCAAGGAATTTCCAGCCAGGAGCCTTTATGACCGGCCTTGTTAAAACCCTTTAGCAAGTGACTAAAGCCTTTGATAGGATTTTCGAAATGGGATGGGATACAGGGACAGAGAGTGGAGACCTGTGATGGGGGAGCGTAACTGAAAAGTCCAAGTGGGTTGTCACCTCCTCTTCATCCATCCCCAACCCGCCTCCTTTCTAAAAGGTCTGTTAAAATGTTAACTAAAGAGGAAGACCTCCCAGGCGCTGAACTCAGGAGTCCGGGCCTCCATAAACCACCCACCCCAAACCCATCAGTTCAGTCTTCAGTCCTGGTGCGGTGGGGAGAGAAAGCTTAGCATAGTATCAAGCTTAAACACTGCTTTTGTGCTAGCTCAGCTACCACTGCCCCCCCCCCCCCAGGGGACCGGGAAGTCTCCAAGGGGGATGCGGAGGTAGAAGAAAGTGTGGGCCTGGGGAAGCTCTGAGAGGCAGGTCAGACCGGCCAGGGCTGAGAAAATGACTAGCTCGGGGCCACACCTGCACTTGCGCTTTTTGTCTCTTTGGTCCCTGGAAAGACAAAAGAAGGAAAGGGAAGGAAGCGGTGGGGAAGCAGCTTTCAAACTAAACCTAGAGCTGCAGCAAGCCAAGGCCCGGAGGGATCGCGGGTCCGCAGGTCTAAACTGCCAGAATAGTTTCCTGGAAGTGTAGCACAGGCACGCGCTGGGGCACAAACCCGACCCAGGCTTGCTGCCTGGTGCACTCTTGGGCCACCTGGAGTGCCCTAAGGCTAACCCGGACCCCACTGCCTGTGCCGGGACTCCGCACCTGCGGGCGCCCGCGTCGGAGCCTGCTGCGCGCTCTTCCGCGCCTTCCGCCCAGGCATCTCTGCAAGAACCTCCAGGACTTCCGTGGCACAAGCCAGGGTGTTCAGTTGGTCTCCGATTCTCCTGAGCTGGACAGCACAGTCAACTTCTAGCTCTGAAAAGGAAACATCAAAATGAACAGTGACAACAGTCAAGGCTGCAAGCAGCAAGTGAACGCCCCCTTTCAAGATCATCCCCGAGATACTTCTCTTAACCTTAGCTTTGTGTGCACCTGTTTCTCAAATATGAGAAAGATGCACAGTAAAAATATACACACTCCGAAAACCTTAAAGTGTGAGTTGAAGTAAGTCTTGCTTTGAAACATGAAAATTCAATATCAAACACTCGTACTTTCTCAAACTTTAACAACCCAGGGGGATGTCAGGATCTCACTTTCGGATTTGTCAGGGAACAGAAGTCAAATTCTAAACATATACATTGCTTATAAGTAGATTTGATCTTCAAATAACAGTATTTCATAGCGCAATTATGCCCTCCTTTAAAAACTCCTTGATGGGGCTGGGGAGATGGCTCAGTAGAATAAGCGCTTCTTTGGCAAGCGCAAGGGCCTGAGTTCAATCCCCAGTTCCGAAAGAAAAAAACAAAACAAAAAAACTCCTTGATATTTTCTCTTAAGATTCATAAAAATGTTACTCCCAAATTAAATACAATCCCTAAAATAACTTAAAATTTATGTTACCCAAATGTCTCTTCCTATAAGCCCGATCTGTATCATGCCTTATCTACATAAAAAAATGATGCAGAATGTAAGTTTATTTCTTATGTTTGCTACTTTTTAGAATTTAGGCAGTATTATTAACTGAGTATTATTTTAAGAAAAAAAAATCAATCTTACAATTTCCAATTAAACTTTGTCATAAAATAAGGTTAGCACAAAATCCGTGTATTGTAATTTTTAAAAATACTTCAAAGAGCAATTTAGGGTCTTTTGGTTTTCTTCAAGAAGACTACAAATATTAAAAATAATCACAAATACAATTAACAATCTAGTATTTTGTGAATAAGTCCCTACACTTAAGCTCAAAATGAATGAGATATAAATTTATAGTGAAGCAAACTCTAAAACTTACATTTCAACCCATTTCCCCCTCCTGCCAGAGCTGAGTGAAACCGTTCCTAACCTCTTCTAGGGAACTTAATCACATAATACACAATTTTTAATGAGCTTCAGGGTCAAGAATTTTGAGTATTTACAAAGACAGCAACAGATTAACATACAGTCCTTAGAAAATATCACTGAACACAATTTTGCAAGTTTTGTATCTCACAATCATCACCTTTAGCAGCAGCTGCATAGGCCGGTATAGAGCCTATTGTTTTTTGGAAGTGTTCATGGTAAGCTTTATTAAAAGTTACTAACACTCAAAAAAAAAAAAAAAAAAAAAAACCGCAACAGCAGCAGCAAAAAAGTGTCAGAAAATATGTTCTGATTGTTTGCGGGGTGGAGGGGAGGCAGAGATGGAACCCAAGGTCTAGCACTTTCGGGCAAGGGCTCTACCGCCGAGCTACATCTCCAGCCTTGTTTGCTTTTTTTTTTTTTTTTTACTGCAGTTACACATTGGTAAATGTACACTGTCCAATTAAGTTTGAGAAGACCTTTCCTGTCTCTGTTGGAAACTAGGTAAACTGATCCTGAGAGGGCGATATACACCACTTAGACATTTCAAAAGTACAGTCAGAACCCTTGGACATCACAAAAGGTGAGCACTGCTTCTCCATCCCGAAATATGGCCAGGACAAGCAGCCTGGTGCAACTTGGCCATGGTCACACTGCCGATGTACCACTTCCTATGCACGCTCTATCACCCGCGGGACTATAAAATGAAAGTAAATGGGGGGCCTAAAAGTTGTCTGACGTAATACCAGTGTGCCCGGAGCCCGCTTCCGCCCCCACCTGCCTTAACAAGGACTGCGGGGAAGCAGACTGCATTGTACTTCTCCTTAAGGAGAACGGGAAAGCAGCTTTGTGGCCTGGTCAGAATGCAGCTCCATCCCTATCCCAAAACTGAATTCCCTGCCAGGGCGCGCAGCCTTGGGAGAGCCCTCCCATGAGCTTCTGGATGCGCCCGAAGGCACGAGGCAGGGCGCAGCCAGCGTCAACTTGGAGACTCTGGGCTTTCAGCCCCTAACCTAGAAGGGAGGGCATCCGCGCCCACCTCGACCTCCAACCTACACGCCGATCCCGCGGGAATTAGGTTTCCGCGGGCGGCAGGTGGTGGTTACCTGCCAGTGCCCGCGTGGAGTTCGGTTGCGCGCTCGTACACACCTTCCCAGGCATCTCCCCGGGCACCGCCGCGATCTCTGCTGCGCTCTCGGAGGACGCAGTCCGCGGCCGAGCCCCTGAGCTTCGGTAGGGCGCGGCCTGAGCGCGGGGCTAGCGCGGGGCTGACGGGTACCACCCGCGCAGCGCTCACAAGTACCACCCAGCTCCGCAGCTGCTAGAACATATTACGGCTGTGGCGCCCGCTCTCAGGTCTTTTGAGGACTTCCCAGGTGACGTAGGGAAACTTGAGCCAGCCCCGCCCCTGTCTCCGCCCCCGTTCCTGTCCCCTGAGAGCAGCGCGGGGTTTGAGCCGCGGACGCAGGCTTGCGCAACCGGCTCGGAAGAGTGGCAGACCTGCCTGGGCACGGACCGCCGCGGAGAGCGTGGGAAAGACTTCCTTAAAAAGAAGGGTGCAGAACCAGGGGGTCGGCTTTGAGAATCTGCGAATCCCCCCAAGTCAAGTCCGGGGTTGTGTGGAGTTTATGAGCGCCCAGAGAGGTTTTCCCGGGAGAAAAGTTGGAGGCTGGGAGTGGCCAAACTCCTCGTGCTTATCAGAAATTGACTATTAGAGACTTTTGTAAACAAACCCCGAAAAATTAGAAAAATTTGCAAACTCTGAACAAGGATATTACAGGGAAGTAAACTCTAATAACAGTAGAAAAGGTGTCAGACGCCGCTAGAGGAAAGTACTAGGTCCAAGAACAACTTAGACATTGGAATTGTTGTGAAGTTGCTGCAGACTTGAAGGCCTGACGCGAGGCCGAGCACTGTGGCGCTCTGGAAGCGTCGGGTCCTGGGAGTTGATAGCGGCAGTGCAAGGGGGACTGATTCTCCGCCCCGGGTCTGGCCTGGAAATCAGCGTATTTCTTGTGTCGATATTGCTTATTCTGGATCTTTAATATTAAAAAATGAGTCATCATACAGAAAACATACAAATCCTTTGTGGGGAAATGGTTGAGTGTGCAATTATTGGTGCGTTATTTGGCTGGTGCTTGACTAATTGTATTACTAGTTATTACTAGTAATGATTGTATTACTGAATTAGGAATCATTAACAGGTATGGTAGCCACTCAGTGCCAAGAACTGTGGCTTACGTTTTTTCATTCCGTCCTCAAAAGAGCTCACCACCACCACCACCATCACCACCACCACAGCTGGTTCTTATCCTCATGGCCAGTTTACAGGGCCAGCAGCAGGGTTACAGAGAATAAATTGCCTGAACCCATAAACCGAGAGCAATGCCTTGCTTCATCCGAACCCAAGGAGGTCTGCAGGAAGCCAGAGCTCTAACCTGCTAAAACCTTCCTAAAATTCATAGTGTCTTAGAAAGCATGTTTTTATATTATCTACTCTATTTAAGGCATAATTTCCAAATATGTTCCTGACAAGCAAATAGACTTTCTAGACCTGTTTGAGTTCACAATACTAGTCTGTAAAATGTCTTGCAAAAATTTGAATAGATTCCCATTACTTAGTGCATTAAAATCCTGGCTTTCCCACATCCTTCAGAAAAATCATTGGCTCTAGCCACCTGGAACTCGCCTTCCCAAAGGGTAGAGAAGGCTGGAAGCAGGGTGGGAGCTGCGCCCTTCGGAGGTGCCGGGCCCCTGCCCACCTATACTTCCTGCTGTTAGCTTTTCTCCTTTAAATTATCTGCCCCCAGTAGGCATTTGAGCTTGTTTATTTACCTTAAATCACTCAATCAACACAATCCAGCAAATATTTATTTATGGGTTGGCCCTGCAAAAGGCATAGACAACTTAAAAAGTATAGGACAACCTACTCTTAAATTTAAATTTTTTATTTTGTTTTGAGTACTGTAAACACCTGAAAACAAGAGTGGACCAAGCTCCTGTTATCGCCAAAGACACAGAGGGCCATGTGGGATGTGGCCCTGAAATCTGTTACTTCAAACCTGGTGACTCAAAACCACTGACTCTCTGAAGGCCCATTTTGGCTTCCTTAATGCATCAGAACACATTCAATTTCTTAACTGCCTAGACTGGTAAACTTCTGTGTAAACCTTGTAAGGTGAAAGGCAATGCATGCACAGGAAAAGAGTAGAGCAAATTATAACATTGTTTACCTACAAAGGGTGTGTCAATCCTGTCTGCTAACATTATCATAATAAAAGGTTGTTGACCTGAACTGGATACAAACCTTTCAGGGAATTGCAAATTGAACTTGCTGGAAAGAAAAGGAAACAAGTTGGGGGAGGTGAGTTTCAGAAAGGAGGCCTAAGCAGCTGGATGAAAAGGAACTTTTAAGGTCGGAATTTGAACTGGTCCTTGAGTTCACTTTTGTGTACAACTGTCTATCAGGAAATTAGAAACAGAGTGTGAAGAACTTCTCTTACCTGTTCCCCTCTCTGGGGAAATGATGGATCATTTAATGTCAGGCTTGCAAGAAATACAAACGGGGAGGAGCTGGGGAGATAGCTCAGTAGAATAAGCGCTTGTCTGGCAGGAGCAAGGGCCTCAGTTCAATCCCTGGCTCCGCCAAAAAAAAAAAGAACTGTAAACGGGGAGATTTTAGCCATTGGAGCTAAAAAAAAAAAAAAAAAAAAAAAAAAAAAAAAAAAACAATAAAAATTTATCCTGATGTATTATAATTTCCTGCTCTTTTAAAAACAATAGGACTCAGAATGATAATTTTTTTAAACCATTATCAGGTAATTTATTTGCATGAACCAAGTTCAAATATGGCAGTGTAAGACTGTGTTGTCACTTAGAGGTTTTTTGTTTTGTTTTCAGTACTGGGGATTGAACTCAGGACCCTGCGCTTGTCAGGCAGGGACTTACTCTACTGAGCTATCTCCCCAGTGTCACTTAGAGTTTTATGTATTACATAACCTAATATATAAACCTATATATCACAACAACAAACATGATTGGTAATAAATATTCATATATTTCAAGTAGAAAATGGAATTTGACAACCAAACAAGATGATATGAGATATGAGGTATTTAGAGAAAGCTTGGGATGAAATATGCAGGCTCTAAATTTATTTGTTCTAATAAAGGGAATTTTTCCCCTCTATACCATGATAACAAATTTGTCTGATGCTTTGATCAGTTAAAGCTCTATGGTAGAACAGTGGTGAAGTGTGCAAGTCTACGGAAAGAGCGCTCCCTGCCTGTGTGGAACCTGGCATGGAAGGGCAGCCTCCTTGGGAATAGATCTTCTGGGAGCCTGGTTAGAGGCACATCTGGTTCCGGAGCTATGGCCGGCTCGGGATTCGGCATCCTTAGTCAGCTCTGGAGACCTTAATGTTTCTTGTCTGTGGACAACTTCTGACTAGCAATCCTAGAGGGGGCAACAGAGAGACAACTGGTAAATTCTGAGTCAGGGAAATTATGTGAAGTTACGCATCAGGTACTGGGCCAATGCCAGCCACAGCAATTGCAGCAGACAATGGGAGTGCCTGGGAGGGCAGCCAAGCAACTGTGCCAGCACTGAAACAGGAATTGGCCCAGCGGTGAGGCTGAAAGGAAGCCACAGAATGTAGGAACAGGCTGAGCAGCCCTGGGAAGCAGAGTGCAGGAGGTGAGAGAGAAGCCCCAGGAGTTTGGGTATTGTGGTGGGTTAACTGGGAGGAAGCCGCTGAAGGTTTTAAGCAGATAGGTGATCTGATCAGATTCTAGAAAGTTTGGCTTGCTGCATTGTGATGAGATTAGTTGGGCTGAGACCTGAGACAGTGTGGCTCGTAAGGACAGATAAAGGGCCGTTCCCATACAAGGTGCCAGTGCCTGCAGAGACAGTGTTTGAATTTGTTTTATTAAAATGTCCATATTTCTTGACTAGGATAAGACTACAAATTCTGTTAGAACGCATCATGATTTTTTTTTCATCATCAAAGCAACTAATATTTTACTCTATACTAGCTTTCCAGGACTGAGTACAACAAACAGAGTGCTTTAAAACATTAGAAAATTTTTCTTTCACAGTTCTGGAAGCTAGAAGTCCAAAATCAAGGTGCCAACTAGACCATGATGGACCTGTGAGGACCCTACAAGGACAGTCTTTCCTTGCCTAGCTTCTGATGGCTGCCTGCCCTCCTTGGCATTCTTGACTTGTATGTGAAGCATGTGTCTTTGCAGTGTGGGCCTCAGCATTCCTGAGGCCTTCTCTCCATGTGACTTAGCCAACCTGCCCTGTTTTTGCAGCACTGGGAATTGAAGCCAGAGGCTCACTACCACTGAGCTACATCCCGAACCCCATCCTTCTGTTATTATTTATTTTGAGACAAAGTTAGAATTGCCAAGGCTGGCTTTGAACTTGCCATCTTCCTGCTTCAGTCTTCCAGGAACTGGGACTGCAAGCTACACCATCACTCCCATCTTTTGTCTTCAACTAAAGGCGCTGGTCCTATATGAGGACCCACGTACCCGTGTTAACTTGATTACCTCTACATAGACCCTGCTTCTGAGGAAGATCATATTCCCAGCTCAGGGAAGCTGGGACTTTACATCTTTTTTTTTCTTTCTTTCTTTCTCTCTCTCTTGCTTTTTTAAAAAATATCCTTTTTGAAAGTACACAATTCAAAACAAACTTTTTCTTTTTTCTTTTTTTGCTTTGTTTTGTTCTTTGGTGAGTGGTGTTCTGTTTTTTTTTTTTTGTTGTTGTTGTTGTTTTTGTTTTCATTTTGGGTTTTTGTTTTTGTTTTTGTTTTGAGACAAGGTTTCACTATCTAGTCCAAGCTGGCCTTGAATTTACAGCAGTCTTCCTGCCTCAGCTTCCTGAGTGCTGGAATTGCCATGCCTTACTGTTTCATTTGTTTTATGAGACAGGATCTCACTATATGCATTAGGTGGTATCAAAATGAAAATCCTGGGGCTGGTGAGATGGCTCAGTGGTCTAAAGCACCTACTTAGAACAAGCTTAGCAAAGCACGGGGACCGCAGTTCAATCCCCCAGCACCACATGCCAGCCAGCCCCCGCCCCCTGGTGGGCTGAGCTGGCCACACACACACACACACACACACACACACACATAAATAAATAAATAAAAATTTTTTAAAAAATGAAAATCCTTCTGCCTCAACCTCACCCCCAAAAGTTGGGGTTACAGCCATGCCTCATCATGTCCTCTTATAAATGTATATATATATATATTATTTGGACATTTTGCAAACTAAAAGCCCTTCGGTAAACCTGATCATGGGC